TTTTTTGCACCCTCAGATTCCAGATTTTCAAATATTGTCCTATCCTAACAAACCATACATCAATGGAAATATTATTTATTCAGCTTTCAGATGATGTATAAATCTCAATTTTAAAAAATGTGACTCTTATGACTGGTTTTGTGATCACATTTGTCATTTAGTCATTTGTACAGAACTGAGGAGTGCAGGTGATAGCGGGAATCCATTCAAAATATTACAAAATATGAATTAGTCAACACAACACAACCAAAGAGCTTTAGCATGCGTTATATATCCATGTATGTGTTGATGTGTCGCAGACTAGAACTACAGAGAACAGCCTTAATTCACAAAATGCGCTTCCAAATGCCTGTTTCCATCACTGATGGATCAAGCTGATGGTTTTTCCAATGAAAAACAAATAAACGGTATCATCCTATGCACAGAGCTGGGTAGATTACTCACAAATTGTAGTCTGTTACTGATTTCAAATTACATGACAAAAATTGTAGCTAGTAACATAATCCATTAATATAATCAGACTACTTTTTGATTACTTTTAAATTACCTTTGACCTAACTCGTTTATCATATTGATTTAATTAGGATAATAATGTACCGTATTGATATACAATAAAAAGAGAAATAAATCATATTCCATTCGGTGTTATTTAACAACATGAAGTGCATTGAACATTACATTACATCAGGATTTCCCAAACTGGGGTTTGTGAAGAAACTGCATTGGGTTCGGAAGTTTAACGAAAAGCTAATAATGAATTAAATCATAAAATCATGACATTCAATAAATTTAAAATATCAGCAATCAAAATCAAACAGTTACTGAAAAAATATGAACTATTTTATTTGTGTACCTGCATGTCATGTGACCATTAACCAACGCCAGAGAACTGCGAACATGCAAATATGATACTTAATCATTAAATTGTTTATTTTAAAATCTCGGTGGTACCTCAAGTAAATTTTAGGGCTGTCAGCTGATTCACATTTTTTTATGTAATTAATTACATGTGTCGATTAATTAATCTAATTAATCACAAATTAAATTTGTCTATGAAATTACCCACAAAAGATCATTTAAAGCCATTATTGTGTTAAATGAGAAAGAATCAAGTAGACATTAGCTTTAGAAAGAAATATTTGATTTGATTCAACATAAAATGTATTACACATAAAAGTTATGTTCCAAACATAAACTATGGAACATAAAAGATGATAATATGAGAAGCATCTCAGTATTTTTTGTTCATGCAATGAAAATCATTGGTAACCAAAACAGGTTTGTTACCAACAGTCTTCAAAATACCTTCTTTTATGTTCCACTAAAGAAAGTTTGAAACGACATGAGGGTAATTGATGACAGAATTAAATGTTTTGGGTGAACTATCCCTTTAATGTTTGTTTGTTTGTTCTTTAAATGAAATGATACTCTAAATAAGAAACTAAAATCGAGGTGCCAGCAGGTGGCGGTAAATGTGTTTTTGAGTCATTCATTCATTCGATTCATTCAAACCGCGGATTCATTCAGAAACTGTTGCTCAGTTCTGCTGTGGCTTTAAAGGTAATATTTTCTGCTTATTTACTTTATTTAACTTCTTATTTACTGAACTGTTGTATAAAATCGCATTTACACTCGTGGCATTCGGACATAAAGTCGCTGCTCGTGTGATATCACTTATCATGAGATATAAATATAAGACAAAAAATATTTTTGATTTTATTTTTTTATTTTTTGCCACAATATCTTGAATTTTAGGACATAACTGCATTAATGAATGGATTAATGGATCATATTTGTCTACAGTCAACTGTATGAAGTGTAAGATGACGTACAGGTCTGGGGGCGGGGCCAGAACTGAACTGTTGTATAAAATCGCATTTACACTCGTGGCATTCGGACATAAAGTCACTGCTCGTGTGATATCGCTTATCATGAGATATAAATATAAGACAAAAAATATTTTTGATTTGATTTTTTGATTTTTTGCCACAATATCTTGAATTTTAGGACATAACCGCATTAATGAATGGATTAATGGATCATATTTGTCTACAGTCAACTGTATGAAGTGTAAGATGACGTACAGGTCTGGGGGCGGGGCCAGTGCATTAACTGCGTTAAAATATTTTAATCGCGTTATTTTTTCATAACTAATTAATTAAGTTAACACATTACACCCTAGTAAATATATTAGCTGAAAGAGGTTCAGCTGACAAAAAAAGTTTAGGAAACCTTGCATTTAATGTACATAAGAACTAACATGAATTCTTGCATTTTAATGTGTTTGGAATACAAAAGCCTTCCAAAAACAAAACAATGTAATCCAGATTGTTACAATGTAATTACATTGTAGACATGTAATCAATTATTGCCCAGCACTGGCTATGCATATGATAACATTACACCACCAGAATATGATAACTCACAGTTTTTGTTTGTTTATTTAACCAGGTAAGTCAATTAAGAACGGGTTCTTATTTTCAATAACAGCCTGCCAGGAGAATTAATATCTCCTGAGAAACATACAAACATACATTACAATACATAAAGCACATAACAAAAGGAAATGATCTCAGTTAAAACATTTACACAACACGTTTAAACCAGCATTCACTTTAAAAAGATCAGTGTGCTTTATTATTTGAACGTGTAACCCTTCATATGACCTTCATATCGGATTGCTTTGAAACTCAGGCCTGCATTTATAACCAAACCCAGCAGAGGTTTCTGGGTTCATTCAGCAAACTAAGATAAGTGAGAAATGATAATATTATTCCAGTGCAGTATTCATCTTCCGGTTGGAGTGAAATCCGGAGGACTGTGGGCTGTTTGTGGCGTAGTACAGATGAAAGAGCAGTGTGTGTGGTGTGGCTCAGGCTCTCTGGGATTGGGTTTAGCCGGGCCTGTCTCTCAGCGGACCTGTTATGTAAAAGAGAGAAGAGACAGAGATGCTGTAAAGGCAGCTCTGGAGACGGTTCTAGATGCGCTGCTTCATATCATTATCATCTCAATCTTAAAGTATTATATAAAGTGTTATAGATTGTATTTTAAACAATTCTTCTGTGTGTTTTGAGCTTGTAATGTTTAGTCAGATTGTTGTAAACGGATCTTCCGGTTGGTTTTAGGCCCACAGGACTGATGTGAAAGCACGTTAGATCAGCCTGCTCTTGTAAGAAATCACAGAGTTTTTCAGAAAGAGGGGTTTTGTGCTCCGCTGAGCAGGACTGTTAGTCGCTCTAAATTTAGAGCATTGAGGTCCCTGCATATCATTAGAAGGCAAGGCAAGCCAGGCCCGAGCTGGAGGAAGACGCTATTAATAGCATTGTTTTGGCTTCACTAGAGAATGGCTGGGCTTCGACAGAGATGCACAGACACTGCAGGTGCAGTCATATTTTCATAGAGCTCAAACCACTGACGCCAGAAAGCCTTTTGAAAGGATCTCACTGAGTCACAGTCAAAGCTGTGAGTGACCATTTAACTAGATCTGGATGTATGTTCACAGAGACAAATCATCAGTTACCCATAGATAAATATAGGTATGAAACACGGTTTATTGGCATGTGGCCCTTATCTCTGCTCTGCGTCTGCATCACATATTGAATGGAGTGCAGCTGCTGTGATGCATTACTATATATGAAGTCATTTCTGTGAGTGCTGACACATTAGTGTGTGTTTCCACTGACATCTGCTGGACACGTACTGCACTGCATCATCATGTCTTTTTATTGTCTTTTTTGAAATGGTCATGGCAAAGAACATACAAAAGTCAATGCCAGTGGTAAGTGCAATCTAAAACAAAATGGCAGGTTACAGAATGGGGAAAACATTATGAGAATGACACAGTGAGACAGTTTTAAAGGCTTTAGAGTAGCTGGATGTAAGAAGAGTGTCCAGGTAGGATTTAAGTGCTTTACAGAAAACAGAAAATAGGGCTTAACACCTTGAAACGTACACTCGTGTTAAAAAAATGCTAAAAAAATAAACGTTCAAAAGTTTATCAAAAATAATGGTCCTTAACTTCTTTAGCAAAGTTGTGATGACCAGATAAAACACCTTTGTATAACAAAGAAGAAAAAGCGTGTACAAAAATACAGAAATCCTTCCAAAATAAGGTGTGTGCATTCCCAAAAAAAGATCAACCCCACAAAAGCAACATAAAGAATCACTATCAGGAAAAATGTTTTATATAGAGCTTAACAGGGTAAAAAACATCCTTTACCTTGTTAGTTATTAAATATTTAGATGAGAAAGTCCACACTGTCTTCTGGAGTGTTATGTACAGGCCGTTGCAGAGGGACACAATGTATGTAATCAGGGAAAAACAATGATTTATTTTTATAACACCATTATTCCAAATAAAATAACCATGTGGACTAAAATTATGTTTATAAATTAGATGCCATGCCAAAAGCACTTATTAATATAAGGGGCAATTTAGTGATATTGTAATTAACATGTAATAACCTTAGAGAAAACAATATTAGGAAGAATATTCCAAAATGAATCAGGGTTTGTTAAGTGCTGTTTTAACCAATTATTTAAGGAGGCAAAATCTAGAAAATTTAAACCACCACATTCATATTTACAGTTAAAGTTTACATACACCTTTCAGAATCTGCAAAATGTGAATTATTTTACTGCTCATTGATGCTCCAGAAGGAAAAACCATGCATTAAGAGTCGGGGGTGAAAACTTTTCAACAGAATGAAGATGTTTACATGTTTCTTATTTATTATATAAATATATCAAATTCAGAAAGTTTTCACCCCCCGGCTCTTAATGCATAATTGTTCCTATCGTTTTTCTTCAGAACTATCACTTAACAAAACACACACACACACACACACACACACACA